GCGGCGCATCTCCGAGTGAGGTGGCCCTGCGGTTGTCTGCCTCGTTGGCCTGGCCTGTTTTGACATTGACCCTTAGCATCTACTGTCAGCGATTCGGCTGGCGTGCCTACTGCTACATTACCGGCGGTGGCTGCCATTTGACACCATCCAGGACGTGGTGCGGCTTGTTGTGGTCTACACTGCTTTTGCCTCCTCTCACCTGTCCAGCCTGGGCTTCGGTTCTGGATTGGCTGTGGTGACTGCCAGGTCACCACGTTGGCTGACCATCATTATGTGGCTGCCTGGCTTTGTTTGAGCCATCTGGCACCGTTGAGGCAAGATAAAGTTCTGGCACGTCTGTAGCTGCTGCCTCCACCACCAGTACTGTCTCCACCCGGTATTTGGCCTCCAGGCTGTTTGCTTATCGTGCTGATGGACTGCTGCTTTAGCTGCTACATCTGTGTTGGCGTTTGCTGGGATCATATCGGGATGGAACCTGCAAGTGGTTAAGCTAGGGCCCTGTTTTTGTATGGCTGTAACATTGCCTGCTTTAGCTGTGTTGCTTGCTGCAGCCATCATTCTATGGCCTGCCTAGGCCTGGATGCGGAATTGGGTGCCATTGGCCCCAGTGACTCCCCCTATAGTGATTGACTGGTCAGCTCAGAGCTGCTTGGTTGTCATGCTCTGTCAATCAACAAAGTCACAAGTGTTGCATCAAGTGGTTGCAATTTTTGCCACCCATTGTCCTATCTGGATTGTTTACTGGGTAGCCATAGCAATTTCTTCAGATTCTAGAACTCTGTGGTTTTGTGTTTTTTTTGGGTCTGCGTCGGTTGTCCACTTTCTGCTGCTTATGACCCACTCCGATATTGATTTGTATGGCTGTGGCCCTTCATCTTCTGGATTTCACACTGGCTGTGCTAATTTCTGCCTTATCTGTTTACAAACATCGCTAGTAGATTGATGTACATTATGACAGCAGTCTGATATTATGCCTCTGTATCCTAGATATGTATTATTGAGTTTGCACTGTTTTTCGATCTCGTTATGCTCAGTTGTCCTGACAGTCATTCCCTGGTTATTCTCAGGCGATCACCCTATGTTCATAATCGGGCTGGTCGTAGAAAAATCACCAGTTCACTCGCAAATCAGGTCACAACATCGGATCTGTTTGTCATAGCCCTACCATTTCCATTGGTATGTCTTCCATTCATTGCCCGTTGGGGCCTGCATTAATTAATGTACGTTATATCTCATGTAAGGCGTTTGTAATAAACACACTTTTGACAGACCACTGTCTTGACTACCTATGTCTGACTGAGGCCTGATAAAGGCCTCTTGACTTTTTTCACAGAACGAGGTAACTCCATCTGGTTTCTATTTTTGTGAGAAACCACAGTCATCAGGTAGAGGTGGTGGCTTGGCTTTATTTAATGCAAATTCTGCAATTGTAAAACCTGTCCCATTGCCAATGTTCCAGTCATCCTAGCAATAGACCAGAGGCCAATTTGTACCCACCTAAGAATTATTAATATTACTTTATTGCCCTCCAAGATGTATTTCCAGATTCCATTCAGAGTTCTCTGTGTTCCTCTCAGTCGTGTGTGCTCATTCTGAACAAATTCCCATAATTGGTGACAAAAATGTTCATGTTGATACACCATCCAGACATCATGCCAGGGACTTTTTGGCCTTCATTGACTCTTTTTCATCCAGCATGTCAAAAAGCCAACACAGTCTGGTGGATGTACTGACTGTGATGGAATTAGGAATGTCAGACCACTCTTTGGTCCTCTTTGATATATCTTTAACCCCACCTGGTTCGTCCATTAAAAATAGAATTTCATTTGGCAAAATAATATCTATCACCACGTCCTCTCTCACAGATGCCATATCGAGTTCTCCACTAGCTGATGAGAGTGAGCTTTCCGGTGAAGAAGCTCCTCAACTATATCCTGGATCATATGTCACCCCTCAGAACCTGTTGGATATCTTATAATCGCCCTTTGCCAGGGTACACTGCAACATTGAGGGCACAATTATCTTCTGTCCGTAAAGCAGAACGTGCTTGGAGGAAGTCCAGCCTCACTGTTCATAAAATATTTAAAGAACAGTTTATTACTTACCATAACAACATTGCCTTGGCGAAATCCTCCTCCATTGCTGGTTGTATTGCAAATAGGGATAATAATCCTCAGACCTTATTTTCCTGTATCAAAACACTTTTGAAACAGGAACTAAATGCAATCTCCCACTCCTCTGCTGATTTCTGCATCCAAATTCAACGGTTTTTTCATGATACTTACTTTCGCTCTCTTCCCTCTCTTTCCTACTTACCTCCAGCTCAGTTGAAGGGGACATTGTTGACTGAGTTTCCCGCAATTTCAACTGTGGAAGTTCCCTTAAAACCGGCACAGTTCCTGACATTTTTAAGATGGCTGTGGTCACCCCACTTTTAAAAATGCTGGGTCTTGATCATGAGCTACTGGAAAAATTTCGCCCAATATTAAACCTTCTGCATTTGTCTAAAATTCTGGAACGAGCTGTGGTCACTCGTTTACATCTGCACCTGGCCTCAAACGATATATTTGACCACTTTCAATCGGGGTTCAGACCAGCTCATAGCACTGCGACTACTCTGTTAAGGGTGGTCAACTATTTACTTTTGTCAACAGATAACAGCTTTGTCAGCCTCCTCATTTTGCTATATCTGAGCGTACCATTTAACTTTATTGATCCTGGGGTTTTCCTTGAGCAACTCGAAGTTTCAATGGGGATCTCTGGCATAGCTTTGTTGTGGTTCCATTCTAACTTAAATAAACATTAGCATTTCCCCACAAAGTATGGTTGCAAGTCACCAATTATAACGGTTCTCTGTGGTGTTCTGCATAAATCTGTGCTTGGCCCATCACTTTTTTGCATCTACATGGCATCAGTGGGTATTCTGCTCCAACATCTTCCCTTTTCCTATCATTGCAATGCAGATGATACTCAAATTTATATCCGATTATGACCAGACTCTGCATCACTAACAGTAGTGAATTCATGGTTGCGTCAAACTTTTTGCTACCAAATACTGACAAGACCGAAGCCATATTCATCGGCGTCATTCTGCATCTTTGTTTGTTGTTTAGTCACGAGATCAGTCCCACATGACAGGTCAGAAACCTTGGTGTTCAATTTGACCAAGCATTGTCCCTTGAAGCACATATATCTAAGGTGGTTAAAATTTCCTCCTTCCACCTAGAAATATTGCCAGAATGTATTGCTTCCTGTCACCTGCTGACCTGAAGAGGTCCATGCTTTTGTGTTATTCCAACTCGACTGCTGTAACACCTTACTGGTTGGGATTCCGAGCAATGTACTGGGCAGGCTTGCATAATGTGCATACATAAAGTACGTTGATTACCATATCAATAACCCAACTGGCAATGGATACCCATTGTTATTTATATCCCCCCCCCCCCCCCCCCACTTTCCACATGTGATGTTATCACATCTACCCCTCTATTTACGGAACGAAAGAGTAGAACATGCGTGCCAACAAGGACACTCAATTGATTTTGATAATGTTGAATTTTTTGTGAAAAACTAGTTACTACTGGCCAAGACTAATTAGAGAATATATCGAAATTGAAAAAAATCTAAATAATTGTAACCTTACAGATGGCTACAGGCTTAGTGCGGTTTGGAAGAAAATTATCAAATAATACATTGTTTAAGTGCATGCCTATGCAGGCCACCATACTTCAGTGGGGATTATTAATGAACAGACAACAGATACTGCTCTTTTAGTGCACACAATCGACAGTAAGTACAAGAACAATAATGTGCATGCATAATGTACTTTGATTATTATATAATAACCCAACTGGCAATGCATATCCATTGTCATTTTTTTGCATTCATTACCCCCCCTCCCCCACTTCACTCAAGAAGAACTCACAAGTGACGTCATCACATCTACCCCTCTATTTATGGAACGAAACAGGATTTCTCCACAAATCTGGATGTCGCCTGATGAAGCTCGTTGTAATTACTGGCGAACCATCATACTCAGATTGTAAATGTTGTAACGAATTGGCATGTTCTGTTTATGTAACGAACCTTACTAATTGGCTGTGTTGAGTGGTGGTGGTGGTGGTTTTAACGACACATTTATATATGTACGCAATTTAACCGAAAAAAAACCTGTATTTTGGATATTTAAGTCTGCTTTGAAAAGCCATCTCTTTAAACTGGCCTTCCCTCTTTAGTTTGGTTGGTTTCCCTGGTTATGTTTCTGTTTCCTGCTTTTCATGCGTTACGCATTGGGATCCGAGGATGGAATTCGCATTATTAATTTGAATTATTATTTATATGCCCACGACTCAAACATAATTAGTTTTGTACAGTATCACACTTTTGTTATTATTACAAAACATGTCGGATCATCTCAAATGCGGCATAAGACACAGAAAAAACTCATGAAAAAAATGTTAACCCACTTTTTGAATAAACTCATAATTGCATCAATGGAAGTGTAAAAACTATATAGATTTTTATTTTACCAGCTAAGTCCCACTGAGAAATATAGATTTTTTAGAAGTAACCTTCCCACGAATGATAGCTCAACAAAGTAGCTTATCATGTGGAAATGTATAGCAGCCAAATACTCCCAATGCATGCTTCCAAATGTTCTAGGGAAAAAACAGAGGACTCAGAGATAAATCCACTTGACCACGGGGAGAGCATACAAACTTCAAATATACAACAGGCGTCAGGGTCGGCATCGAACCCACGACCTCCTGTATACCAGGAGAGGTAGTGAACATCTCGTCCCCATGTCCACAGAGATCCTGATATCTCGTGGAAGAGAGTCCCATAGTCTGAAGGCTCTCGGGAAAGACGCTTGGTCACTCATCATCCAATGCCTCGACATTGGAACTCAGAGGAGATATGCATCCCCAGAACTATGAGACATGGTGAGGGACAGCTATTTTAATGTATGAGACAAGCAGATTAGAGGAATGAATACTTGCCCAATTTGCTGTGTGGAATCTGGTTTCTTGAAACAATTTCTGTAGAAAGAGGCACATGTTGAGAACATATTTAACCAATAGGCAGACTACTAGGTCGACAGACACACAGATGAATGGAATGACAGAAGCAGCGATAGGTCTAAGACCTAACGGAGTGCCCGGGTTTTTTATCTGGGCAGATGCCTGTGTTTAAAACTGGGCTCAACCCAGTCAACAATGACTGCACAGAAACCCAAGTCATGAATTTGCTTCTGCACTTAATTTGAAAAAATTCCAGCTCTGATAATAACTCAACAGTCAAAATCTGTCCTCAAAGAAAAACAATATACACGTAAAATATCCTAGATGATATTTTGGTCAATGATGTTCTTTATAATACGTAGGTGAAGGGCCATTGCCCAAACGTTATCTATTTTTTCCTTTAGAGCAGTGTTATTTATACATGTTTTTTGTTTATCTATGCCTATGAAATACTCGCAATGCAGTATCACAAACATACAATTAAAATAATTGGTTTGAATGCAATGTGATGAATATTATACTTTCCGTTGAAGGGTGAGTTGGAATATGCTGCCCCCTGTTGTATGTCTAGATGTATGTTGAAATTACTTCGCACCATACGTAGATAACCGTGCTAATTAGCGGTGCGGGGGAAGAACAACAAACTAAACACAAAGCAGTTCAAAGAAATTAGTTTGTCAAACAAGATTATTTAAAAGTACATAGTTCCAGTAGCTTCCGAATATCGGAACGACGTTCCAGATGGACACAGCAGCGCATGCAATAGCGTGCAATACAGTGATCATCTCTGTTCAATGGTTGAGCCAAAAGCCACTGCAAAGATGACTGAAGTTAAGTGACTCACTTAACTTTGAGGAATTTTGCATGTAGTTGTGCGATATCCGCTTCCCCAAGACCGTTTTCTAACACAGGGTGATGCACTACTCTGCGAAAAATTCGTATGGATAATTTGTCTTGTGACGAAACATCATAACACTATCAAAAGACACAGCATCACCAGAACTTTAGAAGTCACTTTCTTGAGGAAAGCAGAGTTGTTGTGTTTTTACAAAGAGGCTGCATGAGTTAAGATATACTCACCAGGGTCTCGAGGATTGGCAAATAACTGCACAACCCGCGTAGTATGGACAGGCCTTTATCCAAAAGTGAATAAACGAAGGGTTGTTCATGTACACCTGTGACCAAAGTTGATATCGCGGTGAATGTGAGGTTTGGCAGCTGTGCTGTGTGTGTGTGTGCTCAGAACGTACAGCTGCTTCCGGCGTATGTAGAGTAAGACCCCTCCAACAATGATCACAAACGCTCCCAGCACACCTCCCAACACACCTCCCACCACAGCTCCCACCACAGGGCCAATGATGCTTCCCGAGCCTGATAGGAGGGGAAAGGAGAGAAGGGCGACATCAGTGATGTGTCAACACCAATAGGCTTTACATATTTCTCCATAAGAGGGTTTTTTTGGGTTATATCGCGTAAATATAAATGCGTTGTTAAACGCAACACCACCCAACACAGCCAAGCACGTAAACAAATGTGCCAATTAGTTACTAGTTCAGCACTAACCGGTTATGTGTTGCAGAGTAAACCCATAACATTTACAATTCAAGCACTACATTCCAACCAGCCTCATCAGGCAACAGTCATAATTGACAAACTTTACGAATTGTATGTCGGGTTTTGGCGGGTTTAACTACACACATTTATATGTATGTGATCTAACGCTCTCGTCGGCATAGACCCGATCCCTGATCCTGACTCACCCAGCTTCTCTACCTGGTCCTGACTCACCCAGCTTCTCTACCTGGTCCTGACTCACCCACCTACTCTACCTGGTCCTGACTCACCCACCTACTCTACCTGGTCCTGACTCACCCACCTACTCTCTTCTTCTCCCCCCCCCCCCCTTCACTGGAACAAACTCCCCCCTCAACATTAAGCAATTATCTTCGCTCGCTCGTTTCTTCTCCTCAAAAACTCACGTATTGTTCCATAGCTCACCGCACGACTCCTTAATCTTCCCCTCATAACCACCACCATTCCTGCTTCCTCTTTATATTCTCATGACAAGGCTCCCCGCTCATTCCCTCATTCATGCAAAACATTCATTCATCATCATTCGCCGACATCAATTTTGCCTTAACGTAATTGAGGAAATCATCACAGATTTGCTCATAGCTTCGTCTCGTCTTTTTTTATTCACCTTATCTCCACCATTACATTCAAATTCCTAATTCTCCATACAGCGCTATATAAATTACGTTAAGACAAAATAAGCTTCTACCTGCCCACTGCTCAGGTTTCTCAGTTTTGCAAAACGCTTCAGAATAGCGGCAATGGCCTTTCTGGAACTGGAACCGTGCCAGCCCAAACAATAAATAACAGAGCTTCGAGAAAACAATTAAATTTAAAATGCGTATTGTAGATGGTCAAAATTTTGTGCACACTTTTGCTGTTCATACTGATGAATGCAGTGCTCAATGAACCTGGTTTCCCGAGTTAAATTCCCAGTCACAATTCATTTCAGGGGTGACTGATGTCTGAACCCGTCCTGGCCTCTACCGTCATGAACCAACGTGCACCGACCAGTGGGGTGAAACGTGGCCACGCAACTCCCACGTGTGGTGAAACGAGGTCAAGACAGCATAGGGAGCCCTTCAACCATGAGCATATCAAGCTTGATCCAATGTCGTTTGGTTTTCTGGAGACTTTGCAATTGTGACTGGTTAACAGTGGAGATGTAAGACGGTCTGAACCGAGTCCCAGTTTGCCTAGGACCATTGACTTCTCGTCTAGATTTCACACAAAGCGCTTGCCACAAATTAACCTAGATACCTCGCAGATCTCATCAAGAAGCATAAAGCATCATCACACAAATTCCGGTCATCCTCACAGCAGCAGCAGCGGCTTTTGGCTAAATGTCTAACAAAGATGGTCAGGGCATCACGCGGTGCTTCCATTGTGCTTCTGCGGCCATCCGGAACGCCATAGGACCTATGCACTTTTAAATCATTAATTGGAAACTAATTTATTTGTAACTGATTTTTCTCTTTAGTTTATTGTCCTTTCCCACACTTCCAATTATCACAGTTGGCTATGTATGGTGCGAAATAAGTTCAACATACATACACATGTGCACGAGCTGGATATGCTCTTATGCTGAATGGCAGTAAATCGGAATACTTACTGGATAATGTCATGAGTGGTAGAGAGAAACGTGTGTCCGTGTAGATGGCTACCCCTCCAGCGCTGACGGAGCGTGCGTTTGGAATGTACGTGTAGACGCGGAAACTGATCCTGAATGGTGGAAATGGACAAGGTGGAAGAACAACACGAGAATGGGGGCAGGAGTTTACACAACTGATGGGTGAGGAAATATGGATCCATGGGTGGTGTATACAAGAGGTCATATCTTCCCCATTGGCCTATTATAAGGCTTGTCATTGCAACTTTAAAACATGGCACTTGTAACCAGGCTAGATGCACTCTTTAGCAGCAGAGCAGTGTAGCAAATACTCTCAAAGAGCAAGATGGCGCCATTGATGGCAGCCTCGGCAAGTTGGTGCTACCTATTTTGTCTTGTTTTGTCTGTTTATTCAGTGTTCTGCCAAATTTTTCGGAGTTCTCTAACAAGAGACGAACTTTTAAACATCAGGGAAACAACTCCTGTGGATTTATTTCCCACTTTTCTGCTTCCAGCGGCAGAATTAGTGGGCATTCTAGTCAAAGCCGCGCTAGGCTTTGTTCAAGCAGCGAAACGCCGCCGAAGGGGTAAATGGTCGGGGGCTCTAGTACGGCTACGCAGACGCGGGATCCGAACAGTGCTTCCAAGCTTTTTCCTCTCAAACGTACGTTCACTGTGCAACAAAATGGATGAACTTCAGCTACTGATGGTGAAAAACAGAGACTTTCTTGCATCTTCTGTCTTGTGCTTCACGGAGACATGGCTGTGTGATTTGATCCCGGATACTGCGTTACAACTGGCAGACTTCCAACTCGTAAGATCGGATCGGGACATAGCACTCTTCGGCAAGACAAGGGGCGGTGGTATTTGTTTTTACACTAACAGTGGCTTGTGTGTCGATGTAACAGTGATTCTGCAACATTGTTCTCCCGACCTGGAATCATTTTTATAAACTGTAAACCTTTTTACTTGCCTCGCGAGTTCGCGTCGCTCTTTTGGTCGGAGTTTATTTGCCGCCGGGTCCTCATGTTAAAGAGGCCCAACGCATGCTCGCCGACCAGATTCTGAGTGTGGAGCTAGAAAATCCGGATTCCCTGGTTATCGTACTCGGCGATTTTAACAAAGGTAATCTCAGCCATGAACTCCCCAAATACAGACAATTCATGAAATACCCTACCAGAGAAGGGAACACTCTGGATCACTGCTACACTACAGTCAGTAGAGCCTACCACGCCGTCCCCCGAGCAGCACTGGGACACTCTGACCATGCCATGGTCCACCTGATTCCTGCATACAGGCAGAAACTAAAGCTCTGTAAACCTGCTGTGAGGACATCTAAACAGTTGACCAGTGAGGCTACGGAGAATCTGCGGGTGGGCTTGGATTGTACTGACTGGGATATGTTCACGACTGCTACCAATAGCCTGGATGAACTCACAGAGGCTGTGACGTCGTACATCAGCTTCTGTGAGGACTGCTGTATTCCAACACGCACCAGGGTGTACTTTAACAACAACAAACCCTGGTTTTCAGTAAATCTCAGAAGGTTGAGGTTGGAGAAGGAGGAAGCGTTTAGGAGTGGGGATAGAGACAGATTCAAAGAGTCGAAGAACAGGTTTAGCAAGGCGGTGAGAGAGGCTAAACGACTGTATTCAAAAAGACTAAAACATCAGTTCTCTGCTAACGACTCTGCTTCTGTCTGGAGAGGGCTCAGGCAGATCACCAACTACAAGCCCAGAGCCCCCCACACCACTCACGACTCCCGCCTAGCCAACGACCTGAACGAGTTATACTCTAGATTTGAAAAACATTTGGACTGTCCTGAACTACCCCTTCCCACCCTAGAGGCCTCCCCCCCCCCCCCCCCCCCCCACTACAGAAATGACTCTCTCAATTCAGGAGGGAAAGGTTAACAGACTTTTCAAGAGGCAGAACCCCCGCAAAGCAGCCGGGCCAGACTCTGTCTCTCCAGCGACCCTCAAGCACTGCGCTGACCAGCTGTCTCCGGTGTTCACCAACATCTTCAACACCTCACTGGACACATGCCATGTATCAGCCTGTCTCAAGTCCTCCACTATCATCCCTGTGCCCAAAAAGCCAAGGCTAACAGGACTTAAAGATTACAGACCTGTCGCCCTAACCTCTGTGGTAATGAAGTTTTTTGAGTGCCTGGTGCTGGCACATCTCAAAGCCATCACAGACCCTCTCCTGGACCCCCTGCAGTTTGCCTACAGAGCCAACAAATCTGTGGACGACGCAGTTAACATGGCCCTCCACTTCACCCTACAGCACCTGGACTCCCCAGCAACCTACGCCAGGATACTGTTTGTGGACTTCAGCTTTGCTTTCAATACCATCATCCCTTCCCTGCGTCAGGACAAGCTCTCCCAGCTAAACGTGCCCGACTCCACCTGCAGGTGGATCTCAGACTTCCTGTCTGACAGGAAGCAATGCGTTAGGCTAGGGACAGAAGTCTCTGACTCCCGGTCCATCAGCACCCGATCTCCTCAGGGCTGCGTCCTTTCCCCTTTGCTATTTTCCCTGTACACCAACAGCTGCACTTCCAGTCATCTGTCCATCAAACTCTTGACGTTTGCGGACGACACCACCCTCATTGGGCTCATCTCTGGTGGGGATGAGTCTGACTATAGGTGGGATGCTGACAACCTGGTGACCTGGTGTAGCCAGAACAACTTAGAGCTTAATGCTCTTAAGACAGTGGAGATGGTTGTGGACTTCAGGAAGAATACAGCCCAACTCCCATCACCCTGTGCGACTCCCCAGTCAACACTGTGGAGTCCTTCCGTTTCCTGGGCACTATCCTCTCCCAGGATCTCAAGTGGGAACTGAACATCAGCTCCCTCATAAAGAGAGCACAACAGAGGATGTACTTCCTACGGCAGCTGAATAAATTCGTCCCGCCAAAGACAATGATGGTGCACTTCTACACAGCCATTATTGAGTCCATCCTCACCTCCTCCATCACCATCTGGTACGCTGCTACCACTGCCAAGGACAAGAGCAGACTGCAGCATATCATCCGCACTACTGAGAAGGCGATTGGCTGCAATCTGCCTACCCTCGAGGACCTGTACACCTCGAGGACCCCTGAGGCGAGCGAGGAAGATTGTGGCCGATTCCTCCCACTCTGGACACTCTCTGTTCCAGCTACTCCCCTCCGGCGGAAGGCTGCGGTCCATTAGGACCAAAACCTCACGTCACAAAAACAGTTTCTTCCCATCTGTTGCTGGCCTCTTCAACAAGGCCAATGCTCAAAATGACTTTAACACTATATCTACACAATGACACCTTGCAATAGTTGCACTGTTACCCTATTGCATTTTTGTAATTTTATATTGCATATTATAGCTATTGTATATTTTGTATTTTATTTTATTCATATTTTTACATACTTTAGCTCCTTAGTATTAGTTAGACTTTGTACCTTTAGTATAGTTAGACTTGTACACCACTTATTTAAGATTTAGGATTCCTATATGTTGAATGCATGCACCTTCCTGCCAAAGTAAATTCCTTGTCTGTGCGAACTTTCATTGCGACTAAAACCCTTTCTGATTCTGATAGGCAGCTGTCAGATCGAGAGAAACTGCATCGGTTTAACGTCTCCAATTTACAAATGTGTTCTACGTAGGTCTTGTCAACACTCCTGCCATTGTGAGCACGTGATGCCACCTTTCTTTCAAAAACATCGCGTAAACATTTATGGGGTTTTAATTCGTTGAAATAAGCTCACGGAAAAATGCACGCGGGCAGGGAACATACCTGTAGGCAGTGTTTTGCTTTAAGGGGCCATTGGGGAAGCTTCCACTCGTTCTGCCAGTGCCAATTTGGACACTGACGATGGAGTTGAGGTTGGAG